TTTGTGTATTTGCAATGGATTTATAAATACAAATTTTGACAATGAGATGTCAAATTAATAATTTTCGAAAAAATGGTAAACATATCATAATACCTTTTCCAACATCAATTCTCTCTAATTAGATATTTTCATAGGTAATTTTTGGATTTCTATTTATTTTTTGTGTATTTATACGTAAAAGATGAAGGTACATAAGACGCTTTTGTTGATTGGTTAAAGTCAATTGGCTCACTTCTTTGTAGAGGAACAAAGGTGTTTTATGTTGATTTAGTTCGATTTTGGCCCTACGCTCCTTTGTTCTTTTCCAGTCGATGACTTAAGGCGTTTTACGGCTGCTTTTGTAAAAAACAAGAGAGCGAAGGGTGAGAAAGTAAAAATTAGGTTCTGAAATTGAACTAAATTAACCTAGAACTCCGGTGCTCTTTTACGAAGAAGCCAGCCGTAGATTTAATCCCATAAAAAAGCCTTCTATGTATTCGCACTTTTCATTGTAAAATTAGAGGTAAAGTGATTTAAAATAAGCATTCCCATTTTTCCATTTTCTGTAATAAAGCTTGTCAAATGTTATTGCATGGAAAAATGGTTCTCATGTCTGATTTGTGTACGTACAATTTCCAAGTGAATAATTTTGAAAAAAAAAACTTGTAAACATAATGCAAGCCACACACAATACAACTGATTGTACAACTTAGATAGGTTGTATTGCAGATTGTATCGTTTTTGGCCCGGTTGTAAGAAGTTGTGTCTCGGTTGTACAAAAAATCAAAATTTTTTGATATTTGGCATGTTGTACCAACCGATTGTAATGTTTGTGGGCATGTCGCTTACAATTTCATTTTGGATTAATTTTTGAAGAGGCAACACCATTGTTTCGCACATCACAACAATACGAAATCCAATCAAATGTGTGATTTTAATGTGTATATAAAATGGAATTTCAATTTTTAAAATATAATTTCAAAAATTAATAACAAATAAAAGCTATTGAGTGAATTATAGAGCATGCTTTTTTTCGGTGTCATCTTAACTCAAACAAACTCTACGAAAAGTGAAGTTGTACAAAGAGGTTGTACACTAAGCTTTATCGTTTGTGACCAAAACACACAATTTGAGTACTCTCCATGTTGTACAACCAGTTGTATCGTGTGTGGCTTGCATAAGATTGCATAACTTTACCTTCTTAATTCTACCATGACATATTTGTACAAAACATAAGTTGTTCGCACATTATAAAGGAGGAAATTTTCATTTTTAATTTTGAGAGTTTGCTTTTGCCAATTGCTAAGTTCCAGAACCTGCAAGTATTTACTAGTTTTGCATTTTTTTTTTTTTTTGATATCATAAATGAAAAATCAGTTATCGTAATACAAACTTTTACATTCTTGCAGTTATGGAACAGAGCATATATTGGTTTCCCTATTGATATCGAAAAAAAAAATGCACAACCAGTAGATTCTTGCAAGTGCAGTGGAAACGCTACAAAATAACATAGCTTTTATCGAAGTGGCATCCCCATGATCCAAGTATAACGTCCCCCTTCCAGCTCAGCTGATTACCACACGATTTGTCAATTAAATTTGATATCGCTGCAACCAAAACAAACTTCAAAACTATAGTAGAAGAATACAGGTAGTCACATCGCATAGCTGCTGGGACAATGAACTGTCAAACCAATTTTTCAATTGAAAATTTTAAATTAAAAGTTATTCAAATTTCCAAAAATTGTTAAGAAATACATATCAACAACCTACGATTGGAGTCGTATAAAAAAAATTATAAAATGTTCTTATTTTTGAAAATTTTTTTTTTTATATTTACATATCTACTATGCAGTAGAGCTGTTATACCATGGTAGAAGAATATAGGTAGATGCATCAACGCTTGGGAACATTTATATGTCAAAATTGTTAAACATTTTTTAATAAGTACATTTTATAAGTTTTCTTATACGGCACTAATCTGAGGTTGTTATGATATGCATTATTCAACAATTTTTATAAATATCAACAATTTTTCATTCAAAATTTTTAATTTCAAAGTTAGTTTGTCAGTTCATTGTCCTAGCAACTACGTCGATGCGTCTACCTTTATTTTTCTACCATGTGTTATACATACAAAAAAAGACAGGAAACGTGTTCGGCTGCTTTTGTAAAAAACAAGAGAGCGAAGGGTGAGAAAGTAAAAATTAGGTTCTGAAATTGAACTAAATTAACCTAGAACTCCGGTGCTCTTTTACGAAGAAGCCAGCCGTAGATTTAATCCCATAAAAAAGCCTTCTATGTATTCGCACTTTTCATTGTAAAATTAGAGGTAAAGTGATTTAAAATAAGCATTCCCATTTTTCCATTTTCTGTAACAAAGCTTGTCAAATGTTATTGCATGGAAAAATGGTTCTCATGTCTGATTTGTGTACGTACAATTTCCAAGTGAATAATTTTGAAAAAAAAAACTTGTAAACATAATGCAAGCCACACACAATACAGCTGATTGTACAACTTAGATAGGTTGTATTGCAGATTGTATCGTTTTTGGCCCGGTTGTAAGAAGTTGTGTCTCGGTTGTACAAAAAATCAAAATTTTTTGATATTTGGCATGTTGTACCAACCGATTGTAATGTTTGTGGGCATGTCGCTTACAATTTCATTTTGGATTAATTTTTGAAGAGGCAACACCATTGTTTCGCACATCACAACAATACGAAATCCAATCAAATGTGTGATTTTAATGTGTATATAAAATGGAATTTCAATTTTTAAAATATAATTTCAAAAATTAATAACAAATAAAAGCTATTGAGTGAATTATAGAGCATGCTTTTTTTCGGTGTCATCTTAACTCAAACAAACTCTACGAAAAGTGAAGTTGTACAAAGAGGTTGTACACTAAGCTTCATCGTTTGTGACCAAAACACACAATTTGAGTACTCTCCATGTTGTACAACCAGTTGTATCGTGTGTGGCTTGCATAAGATTGCATAACTTTACCTTCTTAATTCTACCATGACATATTTGTACAAAACACAAGTTGTTCGCACATTATAAAGGAGGAAATTTTCATTTTTAATTTTGAGAGTTTGCTTTTGCCAATTGCTAAGTTCCAGAACCTGCAAGTATTTACTAGTTTTGCATTTTTTTTTTTTTGATATCATAAATGAAAAATCAGTTATCGTAATACAAACTTTTACATTCTTGCAGTTATGGAACAGAGCATATATTGGTTTCCCTATTGATATCGAAAAAAAATGCACAACTAGTAGATTCTTGCAAGTGCAGTGGAAACGCTACAAAATAACGTAGCTTTTATCGAAGTGGCATCCCCATGATCCAAGTATAACGTCCCCCTTCCAGCTCAGCTGATTACCACACGATTTGTCAATTAAATTTGATATCGCTGCAACCAAAACAAACTTCAAAACTATAGTAGAAGAATACAGGTAGTCACAGCGCATAGCTGCTGGGACAATGAACTGTCAAACCAATTTTTCAATTGAAAATTTTAAATTAAAAGTTATTCAAATTTCCAAAAATTGTTAAGAAATACATATCAACAACCTACGATTGGAGTCGTATAAAAAAAATTATAAAATGTTCTTATTTTTGAAAATTTTTTTTTTTTATATTTACATATCTACTATGCAGTAGAGCTGTTATACCATGGTAGAAGAATATAGGTAGATGCATCAACGCTTGGGAACATTTATATGTCAAAATTGTTAAAAATTTTTTAATAAGTACATTTTATAAGTTTTCTTATACGGCACTAATCTGAGGTTGTTATGATATGCATTATTCAACAATTCTTATAAATATCAACAATTTTTCATTCAAAATTTTTAATTTCAAAGTTAGTTTGTCAGTTCATTGTCCTAGCAACTACGTCGATGCGTCTACCTTTTTTTTCTACCATGTGTTATACATACAAAAAAAGACAGGAAACGTGTTCGCCATAAAATTCTTCTCTCAAGCATTAATTTTGACATTTCATCTAGTAAAATGACAACTGTTTTTAGATTAATTCGCTCGAAGGAACCCCTTATAATGGTTCCACGGGCATCCCCATGGTAGAAGAATATAGGTAGACGCGTCGACACAGCTGCTTGGACAATGAACTGTCAAACCAATTTTGGAATTGAAAATGTTGAATGAAAAATTATATAAATTTGCAAAAATTGTTGAAAAACACGGATTATAATAACCTCCGAATGATGTCGTATAAGAAAACATAAATCTACTTATATTTGAAAAAACGTTTAAATTTTTTTGACTATAAATGCTCCCATGGTACAAGAATATAGGTAGATGCAACAACGCTTGGGAACATTGATATGTCTTCTACCATGAATGCTCCCAAGCATGATCCAAGTATAAGGCCCGCCTTCCAGCTCAGCTGATTACCAGACGATCTGTCAATTAAATTTGAATTCGCTGCAACAAAAATAAACTTCAAAACGATGGTAGAAGAATTCAGGTAGTCGCATTGCATAGCTGCTGTGGCAAAGAACTGCCAAACCAATTTTTAAGATAAAAATTTAAAATGAAAAATTATTCAAAAAATTATTGCAATGCTTGGGAACATTGATATGTCAAAATTGTTAAAATGTTTTGTGAAAAATAAGTAGATTTTTATACGTTTTTTAAATCCAACGCAAATTGGAGGTTGTTATGATATGCAATTTTTACAAATATCAACAATTTTTCGTTTAACATTTTTAATTTCAAATTCGATTTGACGATTCATTGTCCCAGCAGCTGCGTCGATGTGTTATACATACAAAAAATGACAACAAACATATTCGCCACAAAAATCTTCTGTGAAGGCGAAAATATTTATTTTCGCCTCAAGCATGAATTTTGACATTTCATCTGGTAAAATAACAGCTGCTTTTAGATTAATTCGCTCGAAGGAAGACCTTATAATTGGGCCATGCTCCCAAGCGTTGATGCATCTACCTGTATTCTTCTGTCATGGGCATCCCCAAGGCTACTATGACATCTACCTTGTGTAGAGCTCATTTTGATTTTTCGTTTAACGCAGTGGCAACGCTGTGCTTGACCTGTAAATATAATGCTGATGACAGAATATAATTGTTTCTATTCTGACTGGGAGAAGAATGTTTTTAAAAATGCAAGTTACTAACCATTCCTAATATTTTGTATATTACTAACAAATTTTATAGATTATATATTTTAAACGGGCTAGTGGCGTTATTTGTGATTGTATTAGGACTGGCGTTATATTGCCTGCGGAAATATTTGCAGTCCAGGAAGTCTAAACTTGCGGATCGAAATGTGAATGTTGTAAATGTTGGTATTTTCCATCCGTATTGTAATGCTGGTGGTGGTGGAGAGCGTGTTCTGTGGTGTGCAGTCAGATCTTTGCAGGTAAGATGTCCATTTTAGGCACAGTATTAGTTTGTTTAATATTTAAAGTGGTTTGCCGTGTTCTAATTTAAAGTGCAATTGGGAAAAACTATGGATCGCCTTGCCGGTGTTGGATATACCCCAGGGGACAAAATCACAATCCCCGGCCGAAGGCCCGCTAATTATAATAGGTTAGATACATAGTAGAGAAAATCTCAATTTCATGATGTCCAGCAATAATATTTTTTGGAACAACTCTAGTTTAGTAAAAACTCTTTGATTTTTTCGAAATTTTTCCTAGAGGTAAGTATTTTTACCCTGATTCCGGGAAACTATTTTTTTCTTGGGGTACGGACCCGGGACCCCAGATTTTTGACCCGAAAATCCGGGATCAAGATCTTGCCTGGACACGGCCCCTATTATATAGACAATATAAGTATCGTTGGAAAGCTTATGAAAATACCTATCCAACAAGTGGTCACAAGTGGATAAGTGGTCACGATTCGGAAGTTATTGTCAATAGCCCGGATTTTTTATAAAAGCCCCCAAAAGTCCAAAAAGGGCCAATTATATAGCTGGTACTCTTACCTTTCGAAATGCTACAATTTGTGCTAATACTTTTTTTGGGGCCAGAGATATGGGTTTTTCCATCCGCATAACCCGATTCTAACCAGTTTATTAAAATTATGTTTTCAGTAAAAAAGGTTTATTTCGCGTACCTATATTGTCTATATCGGTTAACTGGATCCGGTCGAGTCGGGGTCTTGAACCCGGACTTTGGGGTCGAAAATCTGGGGTCCCGGGTCCGTCCCCCAAGAAAAAAATAGTTTCCCGGGATCAGGGTAAAAATACCTACCACTTCGAAAAAATTGAAGAGTTTTTACTAGAGTTAAGCCTATTTTTTTAACTATCAGAGACATCAGCACATATGTTACCATTTTGGAAAGAGTGTAGGTTATAATCTAGCGTGTAAATCTTTAAATCCTATATTTTCGAGTTTTTAGGTGTTTTTAAAAAATTACAGTTATAAAAATATACAATTTGTTGCATTACTCCGGAACCAGTTCCAACAACCCTATCATATGACCACTTGTTGGTCATAATCTTTCAAATGAACCGGATGTTGTATCCGAACTTTCGGGTCAAATAACGGAAACGAAAAAACCAACCAGTGTTGGGCATATTGCACTAAATTTTTAGTGCACTAGGAATTAAAAAGTTAGTGGTAGTGCAATTTTTAATATTAAAATTTTTAATATTAAAATTGCACTACCACTAACCATTCAGTGATATTTAAAAAAATGCACTACCACTAAATTTTAGTGGTAGTGAAATTTTAATAGAACTACCACTAAATTAAGTGATATTTAAAAAAAAAAAACTGCACTACCACTAAATTTTAGCGAAGCCAAAAAATAACACTGTATATAAGTATTATATCAGTGAAGTTTACTGAAGTGAATATCGAACAGCAATCCAGAATATATAGTACATATTCATAAACTTTTATTATTTTTCAATAGCACAAATTTAGTGCTATTTTTTATGAAATACCACTAATTTAGTGCAATTTTTTTAAATATCACTAAATGATTAGTGGTAGTGCAATTTAATTTTTCACTACCACTAACCCTTTAGTGCTAGTGAAATTAAAAATTGCACTGCCACTAAATGAATAGTGATAGTGAAATTATAAGTGCACTGAAAATACACTGCATTATGCCCATCTCTGGCTCCAACTCTAGTAAAACTTCTTCGATTTAATTTTTTCCGGAGTTAGTTTTACGGGTAAAATAAATTTGACTTTAAACGAGTTTAGCTCTAGCTGGCGGAAAATTCTGAAATTTTTACCGAAGATAGGTCTTGTTATCCTAATCACAGCCACATACATTTTTTGGGGGAAAATCAATAATTCCCGAGATATAGGGTTCCAAAGTTCCAAAAATTTCCTTTTTGATTTTGTTATTTATAAACCATTTATCGAAATAAAAACTTCACAAAAGTGTTTGGTTTTTGTATTCTGATTACAACAACAAAACATTTTCGGGAGGTGGGTGTGGACCCGAAATATAGGGTTTCATTTCATTTATTTCATACAATTCAATATAAATAAGCCAACATGGCCAAAATCTTATATTAAAATTATATTTTAACAAGTTAAAAAGCAGTAAGTTCGGCCGGGCCGAACTTTTAATACCCTCCACCATTTGCAACGAATTTGGAAATTTTCCACAAAAAAAATCCTTAAAAAATTCTGTTAAAATTTTAAAAATGCCGAATATAGCCGTTATTTTGGGGTCTATACGACGTGGACATACATAGTCATTGTTTGTCATAAGCCATTACCATATTCAAATTCGAAACTTGAAATAAACGGTGAATAATGTAGCTAAAATCATCACAATACCGAATATAGGGAGGTACCGTTATATGGGGGCTATACGAAGACCTGGACCCGCACAGACAATTTTCTGTCACAGACTGGAGTTGCCATAACGAACTTCAAATACCAATTTTAAAACAATTCCGGTGAATAATGTCGCTAAAATCATCAAAATACCGAATATAGGGAGGTACCGTTATATAGGGGCTATATGAAGACGTGGACCTGCACAGACAATTTTCTGTCTTAGGGTGTAGTATCCATTTTGAACTTCAAATACCAAATTTGAAACAATTCCCTTGAATAATGTCGCTAAAATCGTCAAAATACCGAATATCGGGAGGTACCGTTATATGGGGGCTATACGAAGACGTGGACCTGCACGGATAATTTTCCGTCTTAGGGTGTAGTATCCATTTTGAACTTCAAATACCAAATTTGAAACAATTCCCGTGAATAATTTCGCTAAAATCATCAAAATACCGAATATAGGGAAGTACCTGGCCATTTACGAACCTAACCTGCCTACTGGAAAAATAAACATGTGTGCAAAATTTTAGCCACCTATCTAAATTCATTCGAAAGATAGAGTGATTACAACAGACAGACGGACAGACAGACAGACGGACAGACAGACAGACAGACAGACGGACAGACAGACAGACGGACAGACAGACAGACGGACATCGCTAAATCGACTTAGAATTTTACGCTGATCAAGAATATATATACTTTGTTGGGTCTGATATGAGTATTTCGAGGAGTTACAAACGGAATGACAAAGTTAATATACCCTCCATAGTATGGTGGAGGGTATAAAAAGTACCTTCCTTATATTTTGTCGGTTATTTAAAAAATATTAAATTCATGTAAACTTTGGTTCGCGAAGACGGTGTTGGACATACCCAGAGAAAATCTCAAGCCCTTTGTTTTGGAACTTTATATTTTGGGAAGAATGGACCTACTTCCCGAAACTGCTTTGTTGTTGTAGTCAGGGTACAAAAACCTACCTGAAGCTACATTTTAGAAACTAGCAAGGTAAAAAATGGGTATTTTTTGGAATTTGGAACCCTATATCTCGGGAAGTATTGATTTCCCCCAAAAAAGTGTCGGATACAAAACCCGACCCGAAAATTCGGATAAAATCCTATTTTTATCGGGTTCTACAAAACCGAATTTTTCAGTATCTAACTAGTCTTACACTCTTTTGCAAAGCAGATTTGCAAATACTTGCTTTAAATGATGTCGTAGTTGGCTTATTCTTGTTCAGAAATTCCACGTACGACTGGCGTCAACACATATCAATGATTATCCAACGTTTCAAACTTGGCCGCAGGGTGGTTCTCAGCACGTCCTCAAACAGTATGGCATTATTGACCGTATCAAATGTCTTTGCTAGGTCAAGGGCAACCAACACTGTTCTGTCACACGACCTGTTCTGGTTCAGTCCTCTACTAACATGTGTGGAAATGGCGTGTAATGCTGTTGTGGACGGAATCCGTGCTGATGGTTGGCAGCTGGATAGCTTCCTCTAATGCTGGGGAGGAGTAAAGTCTCAAGAGACTTAGCTACTGGCGACAAAAGCGAAATCGGTCTATACGATTCGCCTTTACTGGCATCCTTGCCTGGCTTCAGTAGCGGGACCACCCGGTTTCGGGCACTATTTGGGTGGCTAGCGACTAATTGAGATTCCGTCCGGGCCTAACGCTTTGGATGATTTAGCGTTACGGATGACATTTGACATCACCCAACGTAAACTGTGGTAGTTCCTCCTCGACGGGAAGAGATCTGATACGACGTAGTTCTCTTTTTTTTTTCTTCAAACGTTCCCACGCCTCACATTCCCACCCCTGCCGACCGAGGGGGCGACCTCCCTTTACGGAGGGATCGCGTACACATCATGATGCGCATCATAATGGGAATTCAGTAGGAAATTGAAAACCAGCTACAGAATCTAATTCATCAGCTAGTTTGTCAAATAATAAAACATATATGTTAATTGTTTCAAAATAAAATTATTCTAGATTTAATAACTTCTAAACTCATACAAAAATAATAAAACATGTATGTTAATTGTTTAAAAATAAAATTATTCTAGATTTAATAACTTCTAAACTCATACAAAAATCTACATTACAATACACATAATTAAAGTCAACACACATTTTACTAAGAGGGTCGCCCATTGAATAATTCGTGCGGTGAAAATCGGTATATAATAATTGGTAGTATCTACTAGATCTAAACGGAACATTAATTCTAATAGATGAGATTAGGAAATCTGAAGGTATATTACCATTTAATATTTTTAGTACAAACATGGAGTTCAACATAATACGTCTGCTTTTAAGTGTAGGCAATCTAATTAATTTTAGCCTGCTAGCATAAGAAGGCAAAACAAAATCACTATTCCAATGTAAACCTCGTATAGCAAATAGCAGAAATTGTTTTTGCACGGATTCTATTTTTTCTGAGTATATTGCATATTGAGGATCCCATACAACAGAACCATATTCCAATATAGGTCTAACAAGAGACGTAAATAACTGTTTTGTTATATATGGATCAGAAAATTCTTTGGCCCCCCGTTTAACAAAACCTAAAACACCATTTGCTTTATTTACCATTGTTATTACAT